CTTTTTCACCATAAAAAGTACAATCAGACCAATGGTGTCTGAGAAATCAAAGGTAGCTAGAGATGGGTCCGCATCAGGGTAGAAATCTTAACTTTTGGAAATGAACTTGAAGGGATGTTTATTAAGATCACCCAATTAACTAATGCATTCACCCATCCATATCAAGTATTTATTTGGCACCAACTGGGTACCCAGCACCTCCTAGGTGCTAAGAATATAGCAGGTACTAAGACAAGGTCCCTGCTTTGACAGTTAGCAGGGCTGTGTATCTTTCCCAAACCCCACAAAAGAAAGAGACCATTTAAAAAGGCTCTGTGCGGCCACTGGCATTTTCTCTAGTGCAAACGACATTACAGTTTATGCTTTCTCATATGAAGCACTCAATAAATGTATATTCACAGAACATTAAAGCTAAAATGAGGGTCTGAGAAATCTCGACTTTTTAAAACATTTTTAATTAATGAAAGCTTTCCTCACCCGTGAAAGAAATCTACACGAGATAAGGTAACAGACAAGGGTGGTTGCCCCAAACCAGGAGGCAGCTGGGAGTACCAACACAGCATGGAAAGCACTGAAGGTCACAGTTTATGCTGGTACTAGAACCAGGCCAGAGGCTGTCTCCCAATTCTCAGGCCAGGTCCCTTGGACTCCACCTATTTGTTGCCTTTGACAAAGAACACACTCAAAATAGACGCTTAATGAGTGAACTAATCAAATACAAACACGGTAGTTACCGTGTATTTCTTTCTTCAAATTGAGCCAGGATGAGAAACTGGTCACCAAGGCTGAGCATGACTTTGACTGGATCCAGTTTTCAACCTTCTTTTTCACAGAACAGTAACATCTCATTAATCCAAAATGGCAGAAGGCAGACAAGCAAAAGGGAGCAGGGAGGCCAGGGGAAAGTTACTACCCAGTATGGGTAGATTCTACCTAAATCTGCTTCCTCGTGGAAGTTAATTTTGGCGTACTTACTTGTATCCATACATGCAGATACACTCATATACACCCAGCTGTGATTTACAATCCTCTATTCGCAATCCTGAAATCCAGAAAGTTCTCAACACTGAAGACCTTTTTGTACCTTATTTGGCAACAAAACCTGACCACCTGAACTCATTTGGTGGCAAAACTTGGCCTACAACCGACTGGAAACTATTTACAGTATTTATTTTCCTGAGTAAAAATACTCCTATGTTTCACTGTAAAAGATACTGATGTTTAATTATAAGGTTAATTCAGTAGAATTCTCACATAAGGGATGATGGATTTGTATATAAATGGTTCAACTAAATACTGATGGCCCTGAAGTAATAAAATTTTACTTCAAAAGCACGTTTTAAAGTCTACAAAATATCAACCAACAGAGGACAAATATTTAAAGTCAGAAGCTTCTGAGCTAAAAATGATCTCAGGAGCACAGTAATCTAGTGCCCTGATTTGCAGACGTGGGGACGCAGGCTCCCAGAGGCCACAGGATTTATCCAATCAACTAGTTTACATTAGATAAGCTCCTATCTGCTTCTCACCCCAAGGCGGTACACTTCCGTGGCTATTAGTACCCATCCTGAGGGCTCTCCCTGTGGTTTGGATCCAGCTCTGCTTTTGTTGAATCAGAGTTCCCAGAGTTCTCCAGAAACTACCTGGCTCAACTTTAAGGGAAATTTTTTAAAAATACTATGTGTTAATACTTCCCTCCCTCAATTATATTTTTCTTCCTCAAAATTTGGATGAGTGTACAAAGGGCTTATCAAAAGGCAACAGCCAATACCACTTATACTGAGACGGGGGAAAATTATTAATGAATTCACAGTTAACAAGGACCTTCTTAGCCCTTTTATCCACTGCAATTAGTGAAGTTATTAACAAGTTGGTAACATTAACCGTATGATGGGAGTATTCTACTTGAAGGGTTTATTTCAAAATAAGGACTAAGGGCATAAAACAGTTGATGATAATACAGTAGCAGTACCTACTACCATTTAATGAAAGTCTGTTATGTGCCTGGAACCTCGAATGGTGCCTTGTAGAAGAGGTCTTATTTAATCCTATCAACCCTGCAACCAGAAGGTGTTCTTATCTCCATTTCAAAGATAAGGAAGCTGGAGTTCAAAAAGGTTAAGTATCTTTTCCAAAATCATACAAAGGACAGCCCAGATTGTGTTGAGAGACCATGAAGAGATGTGCTCTGTTCCAGAGTACAGCTCTGGAACCATACAGTGCCCTGGTTGAAAGCCCAGCTCTATGAACTAGCTAATCTGTGCAAATGCTTCAGTTTCATCACATATAAAATTGGTATAATAATAGTGCCCATCTCGCAGGGGTGCTGTCATGAAGATTAAATGAGTTAATATAGGACGCCTGGGTGGCTCAGTGGGTTAAGCGTCTGCCTTCGGCTCAGGTCATGATCCCAGGGTCCTTGGATCAAGTCCTGCGTTGGGCTCCCTGCTCAGTGGGGAGCCTGCTTCTCCCTCTGCCTGCCGCTCCCCCAGCTTGTGCACACACTCTGACAAATAAATAAATAAAAATCTTTAAATAAAATTTAAAAAATAAATTAAATAAAAGAGTTAATATATGTAAAGCAGTTAAGAGAGTGCCTAGTATCTGGTTAGCCCTATATATTAGCTATTATCATTAATACTGGCACCAGCATTCAAACCCTGATCTGCCTAATCCCATGGCTCCTCTTTTCCACTGTGCTGCAGAATTGTACTACGGGGGTGCCTGGCTGCCTCAGTCAGTAGACTGTGCGACTCTCAGATCTCCAAGTCATCAGTTCAAGCCCCACATTGGGTGTGGAGCCTATTTAAAAGAAAAAGAAAAAAGAAAAAAAGAAATTGTACTACAGGCAATATATTAGTGGCACTGAGCCAGCTGTCTCCACCTCCCATGCCATGTGTTGACATTCTTCATCTATTATTTCTTTTGTCTGTTCCAAACTTTAAGATTTGTGGCCCATTTCAAAGCTAACAAATGTCTTTCTTTTGGTAAATAAATAACCAGGCATGGAATACATAAAATGAAAAATTCTAGCAACTGATACCTTTCAGTCACCTTCACACTGCCGAGGTGTTAGTAAACAGCTAACTTAAGTTTACTCAGGGCCAAAAAAATCTTCTATCAAGACACCTAACTGTGCATAGATCTATTCACTGTATTAAATTGCAGTACATGAAACAAAGACAGAATAGCAGCGGTATAACATTAGGCACATATTCCACACTTACATGTCTGGGGCACTTTCTCACCCTGACGTATAAGACTTATTTTCATTTGCCTCTAAAACAAGAACTATTAAAAGTGGAAAGCAATGCCACATAATTCATTCACTCATTAAACAAATATTTAGACTGCCTATGCTGGCAGTATCTGGCACAGTGCTTGGGTCAGGATTACAGTAGTTAAAAAGACAGCACCCTCTCTTATGAAGCTTACAATCCAGCATGGGTACAGACTTTTAGCAAATGTATACTGTGGCATTTCTAAAAACCATTCTCTTAATTTTAAAACCTTCTGGGGCGCTTGGGTGGCTCAGATGGTTAAGTGTCTGCCTTCAGCTTAGGTCATGATCCCAGGGTCCTGGGATCGAGTCCCGCATCGGGCTCCCTGCTCCTTGGGAGCCTGCTTCTCCCTCTGCCTCTCTCTCTCTCTCTCTGTCTCTCATGAATAAATAAATACAATCTTTTAAATAAATAAATAAAACCTTCTGCAACCTCCTGCCAAAAAAAAAAAAAGGAAATATTAAAACAAGGAAACAGATGTCTAACAATTTGAAAATACAACTTTTCTCCAAGTTGCTATACTTATTTTTAAATGTGTTCTCTAAAATCATATACGTGTACTCTTCCAGTTCTGACCTACCCAGTCTCTGCAAACTTGTTTATGACAAAGAATACCATATTAGACTGTCAATAATATAATAACCATCCAACCTAAACCAAAGGGTTGTTTCATTCAAGAAAATGTTTAATCTACTATCCAGAGAGGCAAAAAATCTATTAAACCGGGGTGTCTCCACCTCCCCAAACCTGCTGTGTGGACCCTCTAAAGAGTTTACAGAGTCTAACCAAACTACTTTATTGCACATTAACTAAGAGCAGATCAAGAAAGGCTGGACTTGTGTGATCCAGAGTCTAAATTACTAGCATAGCCCATGACCCAAGGGCTTGTACTGGCTCCCAAGAGGTTGGGTGCTGGAGTCCAAGTCAAGGCTTCCTGGTCAGAGGAAGGGGCCCTAGCCTCAGCTGATCTCGAGATAGGGAAGAATGTCTGGAGCTGCCAACAGATCTCTCACATTCGTGTGTGCACATCTACCAGTAGAGCCTCTACAGGATAACTGGTGTTGTCCCCAGTAACAGAGCAAAAGTGCAAAAAAAAAAAATCCCTTTCACAAGTAAGTCTTGAAATTTGGGGCCAGTACCTTGTCCTCACTGCAAATTCACGTACAAAAAAACACACACCCCTTGGAGAAAGTTTTGACATTCATAAAGAAACGAGATTATGATGACAAAGTGCCTTTGTCAAAAGCGAAAAGATTAGTAGGGTGACAACAGAGGAGAAAACCTGTAGGAGGGGCAAGGAAGGAGAATTTTGGAGAATTTAGGAATGGGAAAAGACATCGACGCTGGGCCCCGCGAGGGGGCTTCGTAGAGGAAAACAGGCCTGAGGGAGAAAATCAAATGACTTGGGGAGCCCGAAGAAAGCACCTGGAGACAAAGAGAACCGGCAGAACCAGCGCCTACCCTCAAACCGTCCGGAGAACGCGATCTGGATCCCATTATGTGAGCCCAAAGCTCGGGGAGATCTGAATTCTAGGAGCCTCCGGGGGAAAAGGCAGGCTCTGGGACGTGTCCCCGGAGCTTCAGCGAGGATGGGGAGGCAAGAGGCAAGCACGCCTGGGCTCGGAGCGCCGCGGGGCTCGGCGAGGGCAGGGGCTCGGGGCGCCGCGGGGTCGTGCCGGTCCAAGGCGCCCGGGCCGGGGCACCCGCGCCGCTACTCACCTCTCCGAATTGGAAGGCAGAAACGATGGTGACCACGACGCCCACGAAACAGACGTAGAGCCCATACCTGTGGGACAGGCAGGTATAGGTCTGTCTCTGTAAGAGCTTAAGCAGCATCAGGCCGCCGCCACGCCACGCCACGCCACGCCCCGAGCAGCCACGGCCGCTGCCGCCTCAGAGAGCCGCCATTCAGCAGCCCCTGCCCGCCCGCCGCGCTCAGGTCACAAGAGGCGGCCGCCACGCATTGCTGCTCCGGGTGATCGACGCCCGCTCGGCTCCGCGCCGCGGCCGCCGCTTCCGGGAGCCGGGAGCACACGCCCTCGGCGCGGCGGAGGCGGACCCGCGGCCCGCGAGGCGGCCGGCGCCGCCCCGGTCTAGCCCGGCGAGAGTCGGCGGCGACGGTGGCGGCGGGGCAGCTAGCGCCACCTGGCGGGCGGAGGGGGCGGGGAGGAGCTGAGCGTAGGCGAGCGCCTTTCCCATCCGCGCGTGCGCGGGGGCCTCTCGGGTCCGCTGGAATCCGCAGCTGGGAACGCACGGAGAGCGGACCCGACCATGCAAGGTTGCTGTGCTACAGACGGCGTTATGAGTACTTGTGCGCACAAAACCCTTTCTGCATTTACAGTAATTGGGAAATTATGATAAATCATTTTTACAGCGCTAAGAGGAGATACTCTATGAGGCTCCTTTCCCCTCTCTCTCCTTAACTATGTTGTTTAAAAGAGGAAACTTTTGGGCTAAATGTGCCCAAACCCAAATTCAACTCATTCATGTAGTCACTGAATGTGTAGTGAGTGTCCGGTGCCTGGCAAGTGCTTGGTGCTGAGTATCAAAAAATGAACTTGACCTGGCGACTGTTGCCAGGGAGTCTGGCTGGGGAGATAAACCCGCAAACCACTAAGTACAAAAAAGTTAAGATAGAAATCGTGTGAAGTATAGGAGGGGAACCAAGACGGTGGGAGTGGTCAATTAAGTCTACTTTGGCACCAGGTGATTGATTTCCAGGAGGGCCTCTCCTCGGCGCCTCTTATTTGGGAGAGATTTTTATTTTCTCTCAATATACCCTAGTTAATATGATTTTTGTCTTGGTCTAGTCACCCTGGAAAACAGTACACGTAGCCTATGTTGCCATCATTTATAGCCTTTTTAGAATCGTCTTCAGAAACAGCTTAAGGAAATACTCAAAATATGCCCTTAATTGGATGGTGAGATAGAATGAAGAGATCAGTCCAAGGTAAGGCATTTACACTTTTTAGTTAATTCTTTTAATCCTTCTTTAGGAAAAGCTGATTACATGCTCTACATGCATGGCGCAAATTAGGGCAGTTGTGTGAGACACGCAGTTCTGGGGCTTTTCAAGCATGGTAACAGATATAAAATCAACAGCATTCAAACACTATACAGTGTTTGTTTCCACAATGATGGCCAGCATTTACTTAGAATCTACTGTAGACAGGGGTTCAGCTAACCCTCACAACAACCTTATGAAGGACATAGCGTTATTATCCCCACTCTACAGATGAAGAAATTGAGGTACAGTGAAGTTAAATAACTGTCTAACATCACATGACCAGTAAATGACAGAATTGAGATTTGAACAGTATACTTAGGCTCTAAAACAGGGCTGGGAGTGGGGGGAAGTGAGTTGTCCTGCAAGTGCAAGGTTAAGACAGATTCTTTGTTTAAAATTTTGATATTTTGTTCTTGGTGGATATTTTGTATTAATTTTGAGCTTTTTAAATAATAGCATTAAATATTATTCATCTTGTTTATTCATCTTGTTTAGTGAGTTTTGGGCTTTCCCTTAAATTTTGTACCCACGGCAAGTGCCTCACTCTGCTAGCCCTGGCCCCTAGTCCTGGCCCTGCCTAGAAGCTATGGGTCTAAGAAAGTTTTCTTTGCTGTTTGCTTTTTCTTTTTCTTCTGCCTCTTTATGCTCCAACCAGAGAGTTTCAAGGGTGTCAGAAGAAGTTTTTGTCAAATTCTTTCTTCTGAAGAATTCACTCTTGCTTGCTCTCTCCCTCCTAAGCCAGTGTCATTAAACTTGAGTAAAATAAATGTGGGTATAAAATGATACATCTCTAGTATCTACCTTATAGATACATTAGGGAGATTAAATAAGATAATGCATGAAAGCGCTTAAGTCCCTGGGATATTTTAAGTTAAGAAAAGAAAGAAAAAATAGTCAAGAAAAAGTTATAAAAGTTAGAAAGGGTAAGAATATTTAGCTTTTTTCTAATAAGCAATGAGGCTTTTCACCGTGAGAATGATCTGATTAAGTATCTTCTAGAAGATTAATCTAGCAGTATGAAATTTGTGGAAATGATTTTATTTATTTATTTATTTTTAGGATTTTATTTATTTATTTATCTGTCAGAGAGAGAAAGAGTGAGCATGCACAAGCAGGGGGAGCAGCAGAGGGAGAAGGAGAATCAGGCTCCCCGCTGAGCAAGGAGCTGGATGCGGGACTTGATCCCAGGACTCTGGGATCAGGACCTGAGCCGAAGGCAGATGCCTAACTGGCTGAGCCACCCAGGTGTCCCATGAAATGATTTTAAACTATCAGCTTCTGAACAGTGGAAAAAAATACACAGTGGCATCTCATTTATCTCAAAATCTTTTTATCTGGCAACCTAAAAAAGCCAGAAAAAAACAAGAAAGGAAAAAGACTGCCAGGAACCCACTGAAATCCATGAGTTTTGCTTTTAAGCAAACTCCTCGGTCCTCTCAAAATCTAATAAATACAATTCTGAGAAAATTTGTTGTTTCAGTTCTCTGTCCCTGACAGATCAGGGAAAGAAAAAATTAAGAGTTCCATTTCCTGTTCTTCTCCTGAGCAAGAAGTGATTTTAACAGATGATATTACAGAAAAATGAAAGAAAAAAATATTTTTTTAAAAAAGAAGTCAAACTGATTCAAAAAATATGACCATTTTGGGGCTAATAATGTAAGTAGAGGCAAGAACAGAGACATGTAATGGAGGCACCAGTATCTCCCAGTACAGTAGGATAATGGGTGATATAGTGGTGAACCCAATCTTTGAGAAAAGTTCAAGAAATGTTTAGTGTTTATTCATCATTTATCAATGAATACTCTGTGCTAGACATTTTACCAGGCCCTAAGCGTACCTAGTAAAGACTCCTGGGATTTACACTCTAGAAGGACAAACAGGTATTAAGTTAGTATTGTGAGGGGAGCTAACTTAGCCTAGAAGATCAGGGAAGGCTTCCTGGAGGAGGTGCTGTCACCAAGGCTTGAGGACTAAAGATGGGAGGGTGGGAAGGGAAGTGTACTCCAGGCTGGACTGGCATGTTGAAGGCTCTAATCTAAAGCTGGAGAGGGTGGAGGTGCAATGAGATGGAGTCGGAGAGGTTGGCAGGGACTTGAGGGCTATATTAAGAACAAAGGACTTGAGGCACCCAGCTGGCTGTCAGAAAAGTATGCGATGCTTGATCTCAGGGTTGTGAGTTCGAGCCCCACGTTGGGTGTAGAGATTACTTAAAAGTTAAATCATTTAAAAAAACAAAGACTTGGGATGGCTCAGTCAGTTTAGCCTCTGCCTTCAGCTCAGGTAATGATCCTAGGGTCCTGGGATCGAGTCCTGGATCGGGCTCCTTCCTCAGCAGGGAGCCTGCTTCTCCCTCTGCCTGCAGCTCCCCCTGCTTGCGTGTGCTCTCTCTCTCTCTTTTTGGCAAATAAATAAATAAAATCTTAAAAAATAAAATAAAAAATAAAAAAACAAAGACTAAATCTTAACAAGAAATTTTAATAAAAACCAGAAAGTGACATGATCAGGTGAGAATTTTGAGAATCATAACCATTGTGTGGAAAATGTACTGGAGGTGACCCAAGGAGTTGAAGTGAGACCGGTGGCAGTAGAGTTGTCAGATAAAATACAGAACCCCTAGTTAACTTTGATTTCAGATTAACAATGAATAATTTTTTAACTGTATAGTTTATCTCATCCAATATCTGGGATTGACTTATACTAAAAAAATTATTTGTTGTTTATCTGAAATTCAAATTATCTGGGCATCCTGTATTTTTATTTGTCAAGTCTGGCAACCCTAGGTCAGAAACTACCAGAGAGTCCAGGCAAGGGGCACTAGTGGCTGGGAGGAGGGTCAGAACAAAGACAAGGGAGGGCGCCTGGGTGGCTCGGTTGGTTAAGCGACTGCCTTCGGCTCAGGTCATGATCCTGGAGTCCCGGGATCGAGTCCCACATCGGGCTCCCTGCTCAGCGGGGAGTCTGCTTCTCCCTCTGACCCTCTTCCCTCTCATGCTCTCTCATTCTCTCTCTCAAATAAATAAATAAAATCTTTAAAAAAAAAAAAGAACAAAGACAAGGGAAAGAATCCCAGCTATATTTAGTAAATGAAACTGCCAGGACTTGGTGATGAAGGGTATTTGGAAAGCAGGCAGGCAGGGATAAGAGGCCCCTCTGCCCTCGGAGGAAACCACCTTTAAAAGGATTTTACACCACCCTGGAAGGAGCCCTCCACCCTTTCCCATGTGATAGATAGGTGACAAAAACCTGACTGGATGACAGGCGCAGGGAGGGTTAATCAGATGAAAACAGCCCGCAAACAAGCCCATAAAAACCCCTAGACTTAGAAACTCCTGTGGCAGGAGTTTCCCTCTCGGGTCCCCTCCCTCCTCGGGAGCTTTGTAGTACCGCTTTACTATCGCTCAATAAACCTTACTTTGCTGCCCACTCTTCTGTCTGGTCTACCTCTTCATTCTTCAAAGTGGCATGAGCAAGAACCATGGGCGCCGATGGAGAAAAAAATCCTGTAACGTTGTTGGATCGATTGGATGTGGTAGGCACCGCTGACTGCTGGTTCTCCAGATTGGGAACACCAGAGGAATAGTGGGCATGCAATACATATTTTAAATATATTTCCAAAATGGAACAATTACTGATAGTAGGAAAAAATTGGGGGTTTAATATTTTAATTCTGTAAACTATGAAGTTTACAGAAATGGATCACTTTATTCCAAAAATACTAGATAAATCATCACTGTGTTCTTTTCACTGGTGCACTTTTCCAATTTTCTAATGACAAGCTCCATCACAAAATCAAGAAAAGTATTTTTCCTTTTTTTTTCCCAAAGATTTTATGTATTTATTTATTAGAGAAAGAGAGCACGCACACGTGGTGGGCAAGAGCAGAGTGGGGGAGGGAAAAGGAGAGAATCTCCAGCAGACTCTGCACTGAGCTAATAGCC